GGCGTAGAGTTCGTGGCGAAGGATTTGGGCACGGACAACAGCAAGTCAAGCGAGGGAAGCAACTACCGACGGGCACACCACCACCTCATTGTGATGTGGGAGGCACTTATGTCTTTCTGCGGGAAGGAGTGTCTTCCACCGGGGGAAGACATGCCAGCGGAGGATGCCGACAGCATAGTGGTTGCGTGGATCGAAAAGCGAGCGGCAGAGCACAAGACTTTCGCCCTATGGGAGCAGTTCCTCTTGCACGACTTCCCTGCCTACCTGACCTTCCGGACTGCCCTGCGCACGGGAGATTTCATGCTGCGGCTTGATGCACTTCGCCGTATCGCTCCCATTTTCTACATCAGCGGTGAGGACCGATACCAATTCCTGGTGGTGGATCACCTTGCGGAGATGTCAAGGATGTCGGAGTCAGATCTCAAGGTGATGTCCGAGTTATTTTCCGTCTCGCTCAGCAAGGATGCGTGTGTCCGGCTTGGTTTGGATGAGAGGCAGGAGGTTGTCAATCGTCTGTACAAGACCTTGACGAATATGATACTTCCGAGTTTCATCCACAAGCTAGCCCCGACTGCTCAGCTTCGCGAGATAGCTGAATTCGAGTTTGGGCGGGAATTCCTCGAAGGGCCACGTACGGAACGGAACAGATGCCGGGAGCTGGCTTTACTGCGTGCGCCTGCGGTCAAGAAAGCAATCCAATGCCTGCGAGACAGCCCGTTATTTGAGGGCGACTTAGGCAAGGGGAAGGTCGTGTCCTTGGACGGGAGGGTGTTTCCAGAGGCAACGTGGCACGAGATTCTTGGTGCCCCGGCAACGGCGTTAGAGAAGATGCAGGACTTTGTGCTGTACTTCGTCACGAAGGACAAGACGACGAAGGGAGCCACCAAAAAGAAGATCTTCTCCATCCCGGCTTTAAACACATAGAACAAGTCGACGGGGAGCAAAGGGAGGTCGTCAAAGCTGAGGGATACAGTTGGCAACGCCTACGCGGGGGACCAAGAGATGAAGGCGGTGGTCCTGAACATCTGGGGCATGATCGAAGGTGGGGGGTCGTTGTCCGAGGAACAAGTGGTGGAGATGGCGACGAGGATTGGAGCATCGACGCCGTTTAGCATGGGAAATGCTACCGGGGGTGAGGGATACGTCGATGGATCAATAAAAGGGGGAGAGAGGACGGGGTAGGGGGAAAGGGAGAGAATGTGTGATCGAAAAGAGGGCACCTATTCTTTTTTCATGTCTTATTTTCACTTGACCCACGAACCGATAGCGGTGTATCGTTACCACGACAACAGATTGATGACAAAAAAATGTTTGCGTTATTGCAATGCCGAAGTTAACGGTGCGGATAGAGCGTTGTCGGTGTTCTTCAGCGTCAATAGTCGGAACGGTGATATGTAGTACGTTGCCTGCACGTGACAGTATTTCCATGTATAGGTCGAATCATACATATGCATCCCTGCACCGCGTGGTTAATGTACTATTTTTTTTTTCGCATTTTCCCCAACTACCTTTTACGTGTAGCGATGTCCTAAGATACTGATCAGAGCCCCATTTTTGTTTTTGGTGAAGGCAACAACTTGCATAGCTGCGAAGCCACGCACTAACCGCACCACCANGCTCCGGTGCCGTCGCCGACGAGCCGTTCTACACCGTGCATGCCCATGGGGTGGACCTGCCTGTGTCAATACATCAAGGGGTGAGGCAACGGGACTTGGAGGGTGGGGCACAGGGGGTTATCAACTACTTCGTGAGCGAGTTGGACTCGAGGTGGCGGATGGGAGCGGATCTGCTCCTGGTGTGCTACGACCGTGCTTCACTTGTCCCGGCAATCAAAGGACGCGAGCAGTCGGGAAGGACGGACAAGATCGGAGGATGCGCTCTCTCATTCGACCCGACATCGACGGACGCCATTCCCCCGTCGCAAGACCAGTCATGGCTTTGTGACAACCAGAAGGCAGCGCGAGATGGTATCGCCGCGCACCTCGCCATGGACATACTCGACGACAAGAGGTGGACTGGAGGCTGCACTCTCAACGGAATCGGAGCGTTTTACGGTGTCGGGGGTGAGGCTGGTTTGAGAACATCTGATGCCGCTGACCCCGCGGTAAGGGACAGGGGGGGGCTACCGGGAGGACCGGCAACATCACCAGAGATACCGGCGCCGGTCGGTAGCGTCCAAAACAGCACCGTGCGCTCTGGTGGGGGCGGGACCGAGGAGGGCGGAGTGCCAACGCTTGCGGAAGAGGACCCTCTTCTCCACTACCGACGGGGCGCGGGCCGTTCGGTACAACGAGAACGTGGCCCCAACATCGGCGAGGCCGAGCTGTCGCCCGTCCACTTCATCGTGTGGGCCAAGAAGTACTGGGGACGGAATTTTGAAAACTGGCTGGTTACTTCGGTGGACACGGACCAATGGATGATCATTTTGCTGGCGGCGAGTATGGGGTTCCTCAAGGCCAGTGTCGAGGGGGCGGTTGAAGTGACCGTGCAGAAGGTTGTGGGTGGGGCTCCGAAGTACATTTGGGTAAACAGGGTATTCGCCGCCATCAGCGGCCTCAGGGACGGCAACGAATCTGCGTGGCCCACGACGGACTCCGGTTTCCAGGGTTGGATTCCCGACGACGATGACAAGGTACGCCTTTTTGTCCTTGTCTACCTGCTTGCTGGTTGCGACTTCCTGCCTGCCATATCGGGTCTGCTTTTCGGGACCATGTGGGCTCTTGCTCTGAAGAGCGTGCGAACGGAGGGTGTGTTTCGCACGCTATCTTCGTTCGTGAGGGTGGTGTATGGGGCATCAAGGTCGACGAGTGCATCAAGTTGTTGGCGACCATATTCTACCTCAAGTATGAAGCTGCCTTTGCTCGTGGTGGCCAGGAGCCCGGCTGGATTCTCCGCATGGTCAACGGCGCTGCCGCCCATTACGTCGACGTCATCCGGATGCTTATCCTCAGGCGTGGTTCAAAGAGGGCTACATCAACGTGCCCGGAGTTCGAGTCCATGCGCCTGCAGAGCGAGCGAGGCCATCAGGTACTTGGGTACTGGCAAGATGGCTGTTTAGAGGTGGTACCAGCACGAGACTTCAACGGTGGGGGATGGGGGATCGACCCGACAGGGGTGGGGGGCAGCCCGGGGCACATGACAGCGGAAAACTGCGTGCTATGGCTGTCTGAGTATCCTTACGTTGGCACCGACAACAAGACGCAAACGGAGAAATGTGGGTGCAAACCGGCCCCGGGTAAGAAGAATCTCGGCGTGAGGTGCGGCTGTCGAAAAGCAAGAAGGAAATGCTCGCTGGCATGCGTGTGCAGGGCTACCTGTGAAGTAATTCGACGGCCGGAACCTGAGGCTCGGATTGCTGCTGCTACCTCCAGCGTTCCTGCTGCGTCCACTGTTCCTGCTACACCTTCCGCTCATGCTACACCACCCGTTCCTGCTACACCTTCCGTTCCTACAACATCTGCCATCGTAGCCGGAGCCCTTCGTTCGCTTTTGGCGTATGGGGCCGCTGGTCAGCAGGCAGCCGCTAGTCAGCAGGCAGCCGCTAGTCAGCAGACAGCCGCTGGTGAGCACGCAGTCGCTAGTCAGCAGGCAGCCGCTAGTCAGCAGGCCGCCGCGCCGGATGATTAGTCAGAGACCGAAGCGAAGGAGAAGCTGGGGGGAGAGGAGGAAGCGGAGGAGAAGGAGGAGAAGGAAAACGAAGCGCAGGATGAAATCCCAGAGTGCGAGTCCGATGCGTTTGACTACAGCGATGCCTTCAGCGACTGGGGATCAGCCATATCGGATGGCGGCCCGGATGTAGGGTTGGGAGATGCGGGGGGAGTCGAAGGTCCATGGGGGGCGACGGAAGCTGACTGGTTCTGAGGGGTCAAGAGCCGTGTTGAGGTGTGTATCTCGACCCGTTTGTATTTTTACCAACTTCTCGACCATAAACTGGGGGTGAGGCACGGGTTTGCGTGTTTGTGGTCCGATTTCACGGTATGATCACGTACACATCCGAGGTGACCCTAGTCCATTGACCAACCCATTTACTTACCGCGTGCTCTTTCCGCTGTTTGTCTTTGCTGCTTTCGCTTGTGTGCGACAAAATGGTGGCAGTGACAACGACAGGTTCCTCCGTGCGAAATAGCTTATGGTGGAGAAGGAGGAGACCATGGAGAATATGTTGTGGGGTTGTGCTTGTGTGGGGGGTGGGTGGGAAACGCACGAGCTGGATAGATAGGTGGCACCACCACCGTTAGCCCTCTTGGCTGCGATCCTTGCCTTTACTTCATTCGTGATAGTTCGGCTCTGGGCTCCTGTGGTGTACAACCTGTGTGTGTGTGCTTTTATCATTAGCATCGACCGCGCCAATGTGTGTGTGTGTGCAGCTATTTTGTGTACTCCGCTGTTTGTGGTGGTCAAGATCCTGCCGTAATTTTTTGAGGCAAGGACTGCTGTCTATTTCGACCATATTTTCAAGCGTGTGTGACGTTCGGGAGTCACTTCAGTATGTTTGTTTTTTTATGTCAGTTTTGGTGCCGCTGACTGTTGCAATGTTTGACTGTATATACCATTTGGGCCGACGTTAGAAGCAGTCTTGATTGTACATAGTGTGGACCATTGCTCGACCCAACTCAAACAAAAGCGTTTGACAAAATATGGCCTTCCTGCAAGCTAACGTCGTACGTGTTGATCGGCGGTGGAATTGTCGTTCCTCCCCCTCCTGTTCATACGCACGTTATGCTCTCTGTGAACAGACTAGACCGGGACCTCGCCCTACCACACTTTCATGCGAAAAATTGCGTGCGCCCTGCCGGCGATATGCCCACAAACCTGCAAGTATTTCTTTCTTTTAAACGAATGTATGTACAAGTTTGTTTGTTTGTTTTTCTCTCATCATTGGACTCTGTCGACTGCCCCTCTGGCCCCTATCCTCCACTTCTACTAGCTAGACGACCCAACCGGGGTCACGTAGGAGGGGGGGGTTGGACCCCCTCCTGCGGTTCCTGTCTGAGGTATTTTTATCGCGATAAGGGTACAGCAATCCCTTCCCTCGCGACTTACGAAGTCGTTTATGGTTTACTAACAAACGAGCTTTGCAGCGCGTCGCTTTCATCCTAGACCAGGATTTATTTAGTGAGAAAAACACTCTCTCTGCCGGGACTCGAACCCATGACCTGGCCGTTAGCAGGCTGCGAGGCTACCCACTAGAAGACCACCGGGGCGATGGTATGCAACTATGTATTGCAGCACACAAGTGTAGCGGACGGGTTTCGTTCCCCCCCGGGATCGAAAATTACTATCGAGCGTGATTTTTTTTGTGTCTTTTTAGAACCAGAACGGAGTCGAAAAATATTATGATCGCGAAACAGAGACAAGAAAGGAACGGGCTCTTCTTTTTGGTTGTCCCGCAGTTTCGCTGTTAAGAAACAAGAACGTACACACAGACAGGTGGGTTCCAGTTCAAAATATGGTGCGCGCCGATTGCGCGTACTCGGCCTATACAGCAAGCATGATGCAACTTAATTCAAAGTGCTGTACATCCGTAAAAGAGGCAGCTACAAGGTGCGAGGCTTTCTGTAGTACGCAGACTTCGGACACCTAAGTATGACGCCACCGCGCGGATGCCATTTTCAGCCAAATCTGTCCTCCCTGCCGGCTACGTGCAACAAACCACTGCGAGAGTTTGTCATCTTGCTCTCTATACAACAATTCACATTCGTACCAAGTTTCGTGCCAATTGGGAACGTCTACAGCGCGTTCTCGTGTCCACCAGGAAAGTGCCGTCGCTCGGTCGAGGTTCCGCCGCGTCTGTAGGGGCTCTGCCGCTTTTGCCTATTTTTTTAGGGCCGACTTGAGGTCTTTCACTGCTGAGTTCTACCGCTGTGGTGTATGGAATTCATAATACTTGGGTCCGTCGCTAGCTATTGAAGACATCTGCAGCCATAGTTCTTCATCTTGGGGGGGTAGCTCTACTGTGTACGTGTACAGCACGGTAGAGTGAGATTTGGCACTTACGTACGTCTAACTTCTTTGGTACGTGCAGCACTGACCAAGGATTAGAAGTTTGAGGGGAACAAGACACAAGCAGGATATAGGAGATTAGGGGGTGGTCAAAACATAATGTATATTTGATGGGGGGAGGGTCGCCAGTCGCTGGTCGTCGGAGAATGTATGACCGCACAGCACAGCAGCACACGATCTGCTCTTACTTTGGCCGACATCCGGACGCGTATCGAGGTGAGATCGGCATGCTGCTGGGCATAGTGATACCATTGAGCAGAAATCGAGCTTAGGCCATCGTTCGCTAGCACTCCTGATGCTGTTTTCAAGACAACAAGCAGTGTGCTTCGAACTGCTGTCGGCATCGTCTGGCGACCGCTGTGGTTTCTTCTGTCCGTGCCTGCAACAGCAGCAGCGGTACAGCCGCTTTCCTTGTTACCTCGTGCTGTTTGGCCTGTAGTGCCTCGATGTCGCTCCCGTGTTGGGACGTCTTGCCTGAATAGCTGTGTATTGTGCTGCTGTACTGCTGGCGTGGTGTGTACTCCAGAGACACGCGGCACCATGATGTACAATGAATCTCCGACGAGCCTTCATGAACGATTCTGTGTGTTCCGCCAAGCAAGTTCGGTGGGCAGTGCACCGGGCATCAGGGGTTCACAACTCCAACTGCTGTATCCAACACTGCTGATGCGGTGGTCTTTGGCGTGGTCTTGCATGGGAGGACGTAAAGTCTGTGTGATCGGGCTGCCGCTCTCTTATACGCGAGGAACAGAACAGCACTGCTGTGTGCTGCCGCCTTCCTCCCTCGGACACGCGGTCGATGCAAGCGAGGCAGATCTTTCGGCGTGCCTTTGCTGCTCTGCATGCAGCGGAGAGATTAGACACGTCGTTCAGATGCGAGACTTGGGGAAGACGTCTCGACTACCTCCCCCCCCCCCCCCCC